TTGGAAAAACAAAGAAATTGTGAGATTGTGCAATTGTTAAAATGTTATGTATGCTCTTGTGCAGTATTCACTATCACGCTTTCAAAGAAAATGTGTAAGGTATAATAAGAGGGCTTTCGTAGTGCACTGCTTTCAGCCTGTAGCTGTCAGAGCGATTAAAGTTATTTGTATTTCTCTCAATTTCAATGGATTCTCTCATTTGTCTTGGCCAGTAACAACGTGACACATTTTTTACTGGTTGGCCGTGTCGGGTGGTGGAGGGTTGCTACACATTTATAAATAACGCGATCTAACCCAAAAACCTTTAAATTTTGATTTAAAGCTTTCGTGACTGCAGTAATTCATATTCTTAGCTCTTTCGGTAAAGTCACGTTGAAGGGAAACAATAAAATAATAAAATATATCAGTTTAACACGTAGGCTTTCGCGACCAATATTATTCATAATAAAGGTTTTTGGGTTAGATCGCGTTTATTTATAAATGTGTCGTAACCCTCCACCACCCGACACGGCCAATCAGCAAAAAAAGGTGTCACGTTGACAAAAGACAAATAATTCACTACTTCAGCCCACCGGTGTGTTGAAGAGTTAATCCACATTTACAGTTTGAGTACGACGTTTCGCTGGTAAATACATCCAGCATCATCAGGCAATTCGCCAGAATGGTAAAGCCCTCGCTTGCTCCCGGTTTTATATAGAGCAGCAGGGTGATGTCATCACTTAACTCATATCAGGTGCAGTGATTAGAGGCGGAGGGGGGTATTGTAATTATATAATCGATTAGTAATCAGTCATTGGTTATGATTAGTAATGAGTTGTAGATTAGTAATTCTTTAAATCAAAATGTAATGTGTATTATTTAATAATACGCTTCCAGGCCGCACTAAGCCGGTAGCTGTCAGAGCGATTAAAGTTATTCTTGTTCCTCTCAATTTCAATGGATTCTCTAATTAGTCTTTGCCAGTAATAATTAGTTTTACACACCACTGCAACATTGTCAAAATCAATTGAGTGTCCTTGTTGACAAGCATGTTCTGCCACTGCCGACAGTTGTGTTTGAGATAATTTAATATTTCTCTGATGTTCTTTTAGTCTTACGCTGATGTTACGTCCCGTCTGCCCAATGTAGCAGCTGCCACATGAACAATTAATCCGATATACACCTTCTGTTGATAGTTTAGGTAATGCATCTTTAGTGCAAGATACTAATTTTTAAATTTTGTGTACTGTACCAAATCTTACTGTAATGTTTTGCTTTTGCAAAACACGGGCTAATTTGTCAGTTACTCCTGAGATATATGAAATTTTTATTGTTTTAACAATCTGGTCGCTTTCAGCAGTATTGCTTTGCGATCGTGATTTGGCATTCAGTGCTCTGTTAATTTGAGCATTATTGTAGCCATTCTGTCGTAGTGCGTCTTTAACGTGTTTAATATCTCTCACTAGAGTCTCACCATCTGACACTGTTTTAGCCCGATGTATGAGCGTCTTGATAAGAGAGGATTTCTGAGCTGGATGATGATGTGATTCTGCATTCAGATAGGCATCAGTGTGCGTTTGCTTTCTGTAAACGCTATGTGTTATTTTACCGTTTAGGCCATGTCCAAGCAAAATATCTAGGAATGGGAGTGTGTTGTTCACCTCTATTTCCATGGTGAACTGGATGGCCGGGTTTTGTGCATTGAGATGATTTAGAAAATCATTAAGTGTATCTTTACCATGTGGCCAGACAACCAAAGTGTCATCCACATACCTAAACCAAAAGGATGGTTTTAATGTGCTCGAGGCAAGTGCTCTTATTTCAACGTTTTCCATGTACAAATCTGCTATAGCAGGGGATAAAGGAGAACCCATTGCTGCTCCTTCCTTTTGTTTAAAGAAATTCCCTCTCCATAAGAAGTAAGTGTTATTTAAACAATGGCCAGCAAGGTTCGGAATATCTTTAAATCAGCATCCCATTACGACCCATAGTCAGTACAATTGGCTCTGCCACATATCAATTAGCAAAATATATAACCAAACAAATACAGCCCTACATCGGTAAGACATCTTCATTCATAAAAAATTCAGAACATCTTGTGAATGTGATTAAAGATATTAAACTTACTCCTGATGATATTCTGTAAGTTTTGATGTGATTTCTCTATTCACTAAGGTTCCAGTGGACGAATCGCTTAAATTACTTGATACACTAGTAAAGAATACCGGTTTACCAAAAAATATTCCGAAACTTGCTGGCCATTGTTTAAATAACACTTCTTATGGAGAGGGGATTTCTTTAAACAAAAGGAAGGAGCAGCAATGGGTTCTCCTTTATCCCCTGCTATAGCAAATTTGTACATGGAAAACTTTGAAATAAGAGCACTTGCCTCGAGCACATTAAAACCATCCTTTTGGTTTAGGTATGTGGATGACACTTTGTTTGTCTGGCCACATGGTAAAGATACACTTAATGATTTTCTAAATCATCTCAATGCACAAAACCCGGCCATCCAGTTCACCATGGAAATGGAGGTGAATAACACACTCCCATTCCTAGATATTTTGCTTGGACATGGCCTAAACGGTAAAATAACACACAGCGTTTACAGAAAGCAAACGCACACTGATGCCTATCTGAATGCAGAATCACATCATCATCCAGCTCAGAAATCCTCTCTTATCAAGACGCTCATACATCGGGCTAAAACAGTGTCAGATGGTGAGAGTCTAGTGAGAGAGATTAAACACGTTAAAGACGCACTATGACAGAATGGCTACAATAATGCTCAAATTAACAGAGCACTGAATGCCAAATCACGATCGCAAAGCAATACTGCTGAAAGCGACCAGATTGTTAAAACAATAAAAATTCCATATATCTCAGGAGTAACTGACAAATTAGCCCCTGTTTTGCAAAAGCAAAACATTACAGTAAGATTTGATACAGTACACAAAATTCAAAAATTAGTATCTTGCACTAAAGACGCATTACCTAAACTATCAACAGAAGGTGTATATCGGATTAATTGTTCATGTGGCAGCTGCTACATTGGGCAGACGGGACGTAACATCAGCGTAAGACTAAAAGAACATCAGAGAAATATTAAATTATCTCAAACACAACTGTCGGCAGTGGCTGAACATGCTTGTCAACAAGGACACTCAATTGATTTTGACAATGTTGCAGTGGTGTGTAAAACTAATTATTACTGGCAAAGACTAATTAGAGAATCCATTGAAATTGAGAGGAACAAGAATAACTTTAATCGCTCTGACAGCTACCGGCTTAGTGCGGCCTGGAAGCGTATTATTAAATAATACACATTACATTTTGATTTAAAGAATTACTAATCTACAACTCATTACTAATCATAACCAATGACTGATTACTAATCGATTATATAATTACAATACCCCCCCCCTCCGCCTCTAATCACTGCACCTGATATGAGTTAAGTGATGACGTCACCCTGCTGCTCTAAATAAAACCGGGAGCAAGCGAGGGCTTTACCATTCTGGCGAATTTCCCGATGATGCTGGATGTATTTACCAGCGAAACGTCGTACTCAAACTGTAAATGTGGATTAACTCTTCAACACACCGGTGGGCTGAAGTAGTGAATTATTTGTCTTTTGTCAACGTGACACTTTTTTTGCTGATTGGCCGTGTCGGGTGGTGGAGGGTTACGACACATTTATAAATAAACGCGATCTAACCCAAAAACCTTTATTATGAATAATAAAATATATATATAAAACAATAATTCTCACGACGTTTCGACCATAACACAAACGGTCATCATCAGGTGTGAAAACCAACGGCAAGAAACATTTGAAAGAAGTGGCGGTTCGCATTTATTTATTTCTAAACGGTGTTCGTATTTATTTATAAAAACGGGTTTTAATATAAATAAATAAATACATCCACCGCTTAGAAAAATAAATAAATGCGAACCGCCACTTCTTTCAAATGTTTATTGCCGTTGGTTTTCACACCTGATGATGACCATTTGCGTTATGGTCGAAACGTCATGAGAATTATTGTTTTATATATATATTTTATTATTTTATTGTTTCCCTTCAACGTGACTTTACCGAAAGAGCTAAGAATACCAAAAAAACCTTTATTATGAATAAGATTGATCGCGAAAGCCTACGTGTTAAAAAGCCTATTATTGTTTCATCATTTTGATACCGGCAAAAAGTGGTCCCATACATAGACCACGCACACTTTTTTTGGGACAGATTTGGATAGGAGGCATAGTCTGTTTAGTTGATGACAATGAGATGGACATAAAGATGATGATAGTGTTACCCACATATATCCCTCATCGAGACTGCCTCCTGACAAGTTTCGGGCGATAGCCCAGGGCCATCAACAGAGATACGTCTCGTTCCCCGGTCATGGATTTATTTGAAATGGGACGCCCTGAGACTGGAGTGCAAGTAAACTTGCGAGCACAATCCACACTCAAGGGAACTATTCTGTTCAATCAGGTTCTATTCTAGTAGTGCGTATGATGGCAATATGTTCAGGAGCGAAATCCCAATGTCTGCTAGACACCACGAGAGTGATATAGCAGAGAGCTCGATGAAGGCCGCTTGTGTTGTGGCCGAAACGTCGTGAGAATATTATTGTGTTATTTTATTTTTTCAATTTATTATTTTATTCTCATTCTACGTGACTTTACCGAAAGAACCAAAGAAGAAGAGCTCGTGTCGTTTTGATGTTCCTCCATTGAATGAACGCAGGCTACAATGGTTTACAATGTGGCCTATAGTTTAGGTTGCATGTATCTCTATGTATATAGATCTATATTCAATGGTTCTTTCAGTAAAGTTACGTGACTTTACCGAAAGAACCATAGAATATGAATTCCTGCAGTCACAAAAGTTTTAAGTAAAAATGTATAGAGATCTAAACAGTATATGTATCTGTGGGTTTATGATATGGCCCATAGTTTGGGTTGCATGAGCACAATCGCTTTACTGTGGCTTTAATTCCCCACACATGAAGAAGATGTGCGCATCAGCGTGTTGATGTTTTGATGCGGTTGATGGACACACCAGTGTCTTCAAGGAATGTCAAAGCCAGCAGGTGCGATGTTTGGGTCACAAATGAGGCGTTTGTTCTGGACGTCAGCGTTGTTCTTGATGGATCTGGGTGACAGGGTGATCCGAAACGGGGGATCGGGGCTTGAGTCAGCGGTGAGGAACATTTTGGATGGGTGGCTGGTTGTCGTTGGCAAGACAACGTGTAAACTCCCTTGCAGTTTGCGTGTCTATGGATATTTGGTGGCAGCATGGTCACTAGAACAGGGAGCCTGGTGATTGGTGTCGGTGTCCGTGTTCTGGTCAGGATGTCCATCGTGTTATCGAATGTTGCAACTGGTAGCTTTGTGTCGTAGCTCCGGGCCCAGGCTGGAGTGGAGTAGGGGCCTCTGCCACTGAGTAGATCGTCGATGAGAGGTCGGCAGGTCGCAGTTTAACCGCCGAAGCGCCCCAAGTCGCTCCTGCAAGTTTCTGTCGCAGGGCGGTTCTTTAATTTGTCTTCTCACAAATCTATTTTTTTAAATGTGATGTATGGAATGCGATGCGGTAATGCGATGTTTAATGTGAAATACGAAATGTGATGTGCTATTTTGACATGAAATATGTGCTGATTGTATGTATGACATGTAACGTGCTGTGATCTTATGACATGTAATGTGCTCATTGTGTGTATAAGATGTAATGTGCTAAAGTGATGTATGAGATGTAATGTGCTCATGTGCTGTATGATATGTAATGTGCTTATGTGCTGTATGAGATGTAATGTGTTCATGTGCTGTATGAGATGTCATGTGCTTATGTGCTGTATGAGATGTAATGTGCTACATGAGATGTAATGTGCTACATGAGATGTAATATGCTTATGTGCTGTATGAGATGTAATGTGCTACGTGAGATGTAATGTGCTTATGTGCTGTATGAGATGTAATCTGCTACATGAGACGCAAACTGCTTATGTGCTGTATGAGATGTAATCTGCTACATGAGACGCAAACTGCTTATGTGCTGTATGAGATGTAATGTGCTACATGAGATGTAATATGCTTATGTGCTGTATGAAATGTAACCAGTAGCTGACGAGAGGCCTTGAGGTTTTCTGCTCGTAGCCGGTGGGTATGTCACGTGCACGCAGTCACGTGACGCAAGGCAGCCAATCCACGCAAGCTGAGCATGGAACTAAAGAACCCGGTACCAAAACACCCGGACGCGAGCGCACGGACCCGCAGGGCTCCCCATTCAGTGGCAAGAGCCGACCTGGGTCCACAGCAACCATAGAGGTGAGGGCGACGGTCTACAGTCTACTCTACAGTCTACACTACAATCTACACTACAATCTACACTACAATCTACACTACAGTCTATACTACAGTATACACTACAATCTACTCTACAGTCTATACTACAGTCTACACTACAATCTACTCTACAGTCTACACTACAGTCTACACTACAGTCTATACTACAGTCTATACTACAATCTACTATACAGTCTACACTACAGTCTATACTACAGTCTACACTACAGTCTACTCTACAGTCTATACTACAATCTACTCTACAGTCTATACTACAATCTACAGTCTACACTACAGTCTACACTACAGTCTATACTACAGTCTACACTACAATCTACACTACAGTCTACACTACAGTCTACACTACAATCTACTCTACAGTCTACACTACAGTCTACTCTACAGTCTACACTACAGTCTACACTACAATCTACAGTCTACACTACAGTCTATACTACAGTCTATACTACAGTCTACACTACAATCTACTCTACAGTCTATACTACAGTCTACACTACAATCTACTCTACAGTCTACACTACAGTCTACACTACAGTCTATACTACAGTATATACTACAATCTACACTACAACCTACTCTACAGTCTACACTACCGTCTACTCTACAGTCTACACTACAGTCTACACTACAATCTACAGTCTACACTACAGTCTATACTACAGTCTATACTACAATCTACACTACAATCTACTCTACAGTCTATACTACAGTCTACACTACAATCTACTCTACAGTCTACACTACAGTCTACACTACAGTCTACACTACAATCTACAGTCTACACTACAGTCTATACTACAGTCTATACTACAGTCTACACTACAATCTACTCTACAGTCTATACTACAGTCTACACTACAATCTACTCTACAGTCTACACTACAGTCTACACTACAGTCTACACTACAATCTACTCTACAGTCTACACTACAGTCTACACTACAGTCTATACTACAGTATATACTACAATCTACAATCTACTCTACAGTCTACACTACAGTCTATACTACAGTCTACACTACAGTCTACACTACAATCTACTCTACAGTCTACACTACAGTCTACACTACAGTCTATACTACAGTCTATACTACAGTCTACACTACAATCTACTCTACAGTCTACACTACAGTCTACAGTCTACACTACAGTCTACACTACAGTCTACAGTCTACACTACAGTCTACACTACAGTCTACAGTCTACACTACAGTCTACACTACAGTCTATACTACAGTATATACTACAATCTACAATCTACTCTACAGTCTACACTACAGTCTATACTACAGTCTACACTACAGTCTACAGTCTACACTACAATCTACTCTACAGTCTACACTACAGTCTACACTACAGTCTATACTACAGTCTACACTACAATCTACTCTACAGTCTACACTACAGTCTACAGTCTACACTACAGTCTACACTACAGTCTACAGTCTACACTACAGTCTATACTACAGTCTACACTACAATCTACTCTACAGTCTACAGTCTACACTACAGTCTACACTACAGTCTATACTACAGTCTACACTACAATCTACTCTACAGTCTATACTACAGTCTACACTACAATCTACTCTACAGTCTACACTACAGTCTACACTGCAATCTACTCTACAGCCTACACTACAGTCTACACTACAGTCTATACTACAGTCTATACTACAGTCTACACTACAATCTACTCTACAGTCTACACTACAGTCTACACTACAGTCTACACTACAATCTACTCTACAGTCTACATTACAGTCTACAGTCTACACTACAGTCTACACTACAGTCTATACTACAGTCTACACTACAATCTACTCTACAGTCTACACTACAGTCTATACTACAGTCTACACTACAGTCTACGCTACAATCTACTCTACAGTCTATACTACAGTCTACACTACAGTCTACACTACAATCTACTCTACAGTCTACACTACAGTCTACACTACAGTCTACACTACAGTCTACACTACAGTCTATACTACAGTCTACACTACAATCTACTCTACAGTCTACACTACAGTCTATACTACAGTCTACACTACAGTCTACTCTACAGTCTACATTACAGTCTACACTAAAGTCTACAGTCTACACTACAGTCTACAGTCTACACTACAGTCTATACTACAGTCTACACTACAATCTACTCTACAGTCTACACTACAGTCTATACTACAGTCTACACTACAGTCTACGCTACAATCTACTCTACAATCTACTCTACAGTCTACACTACAGTCTACACTACAGTCTACACTACAATCTACTCTACAGTCTACACTACAGTCTATACTACAGTCTACACTACAGTCTACGCTACAATCTACTCTACAGTCTACACTACAGTCTATACTACAGTCTACACTACAATCTACTCTACAGTCTACACTACAGTCTATACTACAGTCTACACTACAGTCTACGCTACAATCTACTCTACAGTCTACACTACAGTCTATACTACAGTCTACACTACAATCTACTCTACAGTCTACACTACAGTCTATACTACAGTCTACACTACAGTCTACGCTACAATCTACTCTACAGTCTACACTACAGTCTATACTACAGTCTACACTACAGTCTACACTACAATCTACTCTACAGTCTACACTACAATCTACTCTACAGTCTACACTACAGTCTACACTACAGTCTATACTACAGTATACACTACAATCTACTCTACAGTCTATACTACAGTCTACACTACAATCTACTCTACAGTCTATACTACAGTCTACACTACAATCTACTCTACAGTCTATACTACAGTCTATACTACAGTCTACACTACAGTCTACACTACAATCTACTCTACAGTCTACTCTACAGTCTACACTACAGTCTACTCTACAGTCTAAACTACAGTCTATACTACAGTCTATAGGACAGTCTACACTACAGTCTACACTGCAGTCTATAGGACAGTCTACACTACAGTCTACACTATAGTCTATAGGACAGTCTACACTACAGTCTACACTACAATCTACTCTACAGTCTACACTACAGTCTACACTACAGTCTATAGGACAGTCTACACTACAGTCTACACTACAGTCTACGCTACAATCTGCTCTACAGTCTACACTACAGTCTACACTACAGTCTACACTACAGTCTATAGGACAGTTTACGCTACAGTCTACACTACAGTCTATAGGACAGTCTACACTACGTTGTATAGCAGAGGGACTATCGTAGAGTCTATATCACAGCTTTAGAGTACAGTACTGTATACAGTATAGCAGGTAGAGGCTATACTAGGGTATGTAGCAGAGGTACTCTTGCACAGTTTATGGCAGCATCTTAATAAGGTTGGCTCGTAGTTTGTATTTATCGTAGCGAGTTGATAGGTTTCTTAATGTGGTGGAAGTTCTTGCCTTGGGCTGTCACAGAGAGATCATCGCCAGCCATTTCAATTGTGGGTGAATAGGTTTCGTGAGCTTAAGGAAAAATTCTGCTCATTCACATCTATTGGATTCTTATCATTACTACTTCGGAAGTTATTTTATCAATATACTTGGGATGCATTTCGGATTATTATTTTCAGATTTTTTTTTTTTAAAGGACAAGTTCATGTTTTAAGGTTTTCGGATAGTTTTTAATAATTCAAGTTAACAAAAGTGATGGGCCATGTGACAAATTTTGGATCAATCTGAAACCATTTTTTCTCATATTCTTGGTTCTTTCGGTACAGTCACGTAGATATAAAATAAAATAAAAATAACATCATAAAATGAAATAAATATTTTGAAAAATGTAAAATTAAAAGTGGGTTTTTTTTTATTTTCAATGTATTGTTTTATTTTATTATCTGTTATTTTCTTTTCTATCTGGGGTCTGTACCCATAACATGTGGCAGGGAGCTGCTGATCGGGATCAATTCTGAATCATCTTTCACGAATCAATGTTAGGTTGTAGGGTCACTTTTCCTTCATTAAGCTGAAAGAGACCGAAAGAACCAAGAACATGAATTCCTGCAGTCACGAAAGTTTTAAGTATTTTTTAAATCATTAAATATTTAGCAGATTGATCCGAGACTCGGGACCACATCCGTACTGTGCACCCTCCTAAACGTAATTGACACAAGGCGACAGAGATGTCAGTAGTCTGAGCAAGGCGGTGAACAGCTGTGCGAGACTGTCCATTGTGCACCTCAGACACAGCACGGGAACTGTGAATCAAAACCACGAGAGTCCCACCCAGCCATGCGAGCCAAACCCCGAGCTCTCATTAGCTGCTACATTGTATTTCTACTGAGCCTATTCTTTGGGTTGAATTATTTTTAACTCTGTAATAATGGTATTAGTACAACTGCTGTGAACAAATTGAACTCTACTGAAGCTCATAGTTACATTTTTTTTTACAATTTTCGTGAATGGCACAGCTGCTGATGGGACAGCCATTGGGAGCTGAAGGGCTGGGGTCTGTACGTATAACATGTGGCAGGGAGCTGCTGATTGGGATCAATTCTGAATCATCTTTCAGGAATCAATGTTAGGTTGTAGGGTCACTATTCCTTCATTAAGCTGAAAGAGATGGTTGCTGGGTAGCTGCCATGGACGCTGAAGAGTGTGCCACATTAACTTCTGCTTTCACGAAGCCACAGCAAAGTTCGAAATGAGAAGTCACCAAGAATGGTTTTGTACATGGTGCTAATTTGTGCCGTTTCAAACACATTCTTCAATACTGTAACACTTCTTATACTAGGATGGAGATTGCTTTCGAGGTTTTCATTTGTTCAGTGTTATTAAATTTGTATTGCAAAGTAAAAATATTCAGCAATTCCGCTGTGTTGGTGACGGTGTTACTTTAAAATGTGAGAAGCAACACAAGGGGCCTCCGCATCTGATCCGCTGCCTTACACCGCTGTGCAGTGTCGTTGAAACTTCGTTTCTCTGCGCAACCCCTTTCACGTACACAATTAGAGGCCGCGA